GGTCCCCGTGGCGTCGGGAAAGGGGAGGGTGGAGAAGAGGCTGCAGCACAGAGTCCCCTGTGTTTGATTTGTCTCCGTCTAAGCATCTTCCAGAGTCTTGTCACAGATCCCAGGGAAGGTGTTCACGGCCTTTCCTCAGGCTGTCAGCAAGGAGGGTGCCAGCAACAGTGCCTGTAGTGTCAGGAGACAGGGCAGCTGTGCTCCTGCTCTGCCCCTTCCCGCTGCAGCGCTGCCCGGGGGAGCAGAGGAGCTCTACTACCTGCGGGGAACGTGCTGCTCGAGCCCAGGGCACAGCTTGCTTTACTTCTATTTTTTTTTCCTCTTTTTACAGGGTTTGTTCTGGGAGGTGCATTTGGTGTCTTCACAGCTGGCATCGACACCAACGTAGGGTTTGATCCCAAGGACCCGTATCGCACCCCAACGGCCAAAGAGATCCTCAAAGACATGGGGCAGAGAGGCATCTCCTACGCCAAGAACTTCGCCATCGTGGGCGCCATGTTCTCCTGCACTGAGTGTGTGGTAGAATCTGTGAGTAATAACTTTTTAAGCATTACAAAATGATTTCTTGTACACTTAAATCTCTTTTATTAGATCCAAGTAAGTATATTTATTGCCTGTGCAGCAGTGAGGGTGTGGGTGAGTTTGTTCTTGGCCATCAGAGCTCTTCAGTTTTGAGACCTGTCTTCAGAACTGCTGTTCTCTGACAGAATTAGCAGAAAAGCAAAGTCCTTTTCAGTTCAAGCCCTGAATGTATTGGCAAGTTTAGCCATTGCTTCTTGAAACCCTAGCTACAAGTACTTTTTGTTACTTTAAAACATGAAACTGTGATTTGCAACCTGGTAATTTGAGCCTCTAAAAATTCCATGTGCGGAAAGGGATCCTTTGATCAAAGTTCTTAAGTAACAAGCCTGTTTTCTTCTTGCCCCTACAGCTAGAAATGACCTTGTGCAGCTCAGTGGTAAATCTATCATCCATTTTCTTAAATAGGAAAATTAGGCTGTTATAAATTTAAATGTATGAATTGAAAGATAATAATTTCTTGATCATCTAGAAGAAAAATGTATCTGCTTGCACAGTGGAGCAGAACACATTGGTCTCTGCTCTGGTGACAAACCAGCCTGCTCTGGCTATGGAAATGGTACATCTTTATGTGCAGGGTGCTGTGGCTCTCACCTGTGCTGAGAACCAGGCTGCATGGCCAGGATCAATGTTGCACTCCTGTGATTATCATGCCTTTCATATCTCTGTTCTGGGGCCTGAACCGGCTCACCTGAGAATCTGCCTGGCACTGCACCACATGGATTTGTCTTCCCTCTCCCGGTGACCCATTCCTTCCCCTTCTGGCCCTGCAAGTCTTTTCTCGGAGAGTGTGGGGGGCCATCTGCTGAGAACAGAGGGAAAATCATCCTCTGCTGAGCAGGGGCTGGAAGGTCATTTAATCTCTCTTTTTATTAGGACTGGTAGTGAGCATTTATCCCGTGTTTCCTTGTTGACTCTGGTATTTATTTCCACAGTATCGTGGGAAGTCAGACTGGAAGAACAGTGTTATTAGTGGCTGCATCACAGGAGGAGCAATTGGCTTCAGAGGTTGGTAGTGAAAGAGTTCTGGGATAAGACTGGCAATGGGCTGGGTGGCATGTGGTGTTTTTCATGGAACACACCCTACAAATCTCTTTGCATGGGGTTATGGTGACATTGACATACGAGTGGTCTCCAAACAGGCAGAACTGCTCTGTTGTTTTCCTGTCAGCTTGAAAGATACATGTGGGTAGTGGAGGCTTGGTCGTATACAGGACACTGAGAGAGGAGGAAAATCAGCAGAAGGAACTTGAAAGAAAAATCAGGAAATGGTGTTAGGTATCCATACTCTTCTGGGGTGTTGTGGGGAGGGAGCCAAAATTACATACTGAGCCACTCTGGAGCTACAGCTCTGGTGATAACAGAGCTCCACTTACATGTATCTTATTTCACTGGCAGTAACTCTGTTAATTTGCACATTGTGTAAAATGCTTCCCTCCTTTCTCCTGTGTCAGATCAAATAGACTATTAAACTATCAAAGTGCAGGATTGTCCACTGTGATTTGATCAGCAGGCACTAGTGGGGCTTTGGGTAGCCCTGAGTGCTGACAATATCTGGAGAAAAAAAAACCAACAAGCATTTAGGAAGAGGGCTGCTCTGCCCCTGAGAAATATCAAACTTCTCTCACCTGTCCTTAAGAAAAACACACCTGTGCACAGAAGAGAAATTGCTCCTGAAGGTGCTTCTAACTGAGCTGGTTAAGTTGTGTCTGTTCTGGACCTGGTAGCAGACCACCAAGTTCCTGCAGGTGAAAGCTCTTCAAGCCAGCAGAGTTGAAGTTACTGTGGAGTAAAATAACCTTCCTGTTTTGTCCCCTTTTCCCCCCTCTTTGCTCTGCAGCTGGTCTGAAGGCCGGGCTGATCGGCTGCGGCGGCTTCGCCGCCTTCTCCGCCGCCATTGATTACTACCTGCGGTAGCAGCGGGATCCCTGGGGAGCAACTTCCCATTTGTTCCAGTGCTGCTGCTAAGAGCCTGCATCATGGCAGAAGAACCATCAGGCTTACCTTTCCACTGCCTCTGGGGTCCTCATCCGTGCCAGCTGGATGTTGTTGGCTGCTCTTCCTGAATGACTAACAAGCATCTGGCTCCGAGCCCTGGCGCGGTGCTTGGGGCAGACGCAGGAGGACGCAGCCAGGCACAGCGAGCAGTATCTCCAGGAGGGATCAGCTGACTGTCAGTTTCCAGGACACAAGCCTGGACTCTTGTTTTTTTTGATCCTTTGGGTCTGATTTTGATTAAGACTGTTGCTGGCATCAAAAGAGGCAGGAGGACGAGCTTCAAAAAGAAATGCAGTGATTTAGGTTACCATGGAGCTTGAACGTGCTGCAAGTGTTTAACAGTTGACAGTTTGCAGCTTGCTACTCTGTTGGGGAGAGGTAAGATCCTGTGGAGAAATAAGTTTGTTCCAGGCTTTTCTTAAAATACCAGCTGAAGACAAACCACCATCTGTGCAACTTGTCTTATTTCAAATACAGAGATGGGAGCCAGATTTCTTTACCACGTCTTAAAGGGAAAAGCAAAAAAAGAATCCTTAGCCTTAGAACCATGTGGTTACTGGCAGATGAACAAAACAGTTTAAGGGGAAAAGAAGAGGTTGTTGCAGAAGTATAATTTCTGTAGCCAATTGGCTAGCCTGATTTAACCTCACTGCAGGAGTACAAATGATCTTGCTGCTGCTTTTAACTGCCACAGGCTCACACCATTACTTCCAGCCGTTTGATAGTGACTAGAAGGCAGAGTTGTGAGAATAAACCACTGTTAGACAGGTAACTGGGTATTCACTCAGCATCCAGTCTGTTTCCCATCACGGCCCTGTACCACCTGAGTGCCCCAGTCTTACACTGTGAAAACTGAAGTGTTATTTCTGCAGGACACTGATGCTAATGTCAAAACATCTGATTAGCTCCCTTTTTTTTATTTGTATCCATATTGGACCTCTTGCTCTTCTAACCAAGCTTTGTTCTTAGACCTCAGGAGGGGGTCATTTTTAAACTTAGATTAGTTTTTGGGCTGATTTTTAACCTTCACTGAGCCACTCTGCAAGGGAAACCACCTACCCTCCACGCCATCCCCTCCTCATCTTTCTGAGGCAACAGGATTTCACATTCAGTGCACACACACCTAAGGGGTTCTCCCACCTACTTCCCCTCCTTTGCATCCAGTTTGACATCCCAGAATAGTGTCAGCCCTGGCTTACCTGGAAGAGCACCACAAGCAGGATGCTTTGGCTGGTAGGGTGATCAGTTTGGAGGCATGTTGTCTCCCATTCCCATGTGGGAAAATGAGGGAGAAAGCCCCATGTGATCTATCAGATGAGGTTCCCAGATCTCCTGATGTCCCTCTCTATGCCTGGTCAGTGTCCTCAGGCCAGGGGCAAGTCAGCTGAATTGTAAGCTTGAGTAATTCTGGCCTGATTAAACAGGCTGGCTCCAGACAGTCCAGGTTTTTTCCCCTCCAGAATATACTAAAATGTAAGGATGTAGCCCAGACCATAAGATGTGTCTTAAAGATTGCCTGACACAATGCCTGTCCTTATACCACTGGCTTGAAGTGCAACTAGCAAGATTTCCATGACAGAAAGAGAAGCTGTGATGGCAAGGTGACCAGTTAGTGCAAACACCAACACTGGGGGGCTCCTTTTGTGCAAATGTTGGGGCTTTGCATTTTTATTAACTTTTTTTTTCTTTTCCTCCTCACATGGTTTACAGCCATTTAAAGTTTATAATCTACAGAAATTGAAACAGAACACAAACAAAAATATATCCTTAACAACTTTTGAAAGTCAAATATTAATTAACAGTTCTATTCTACCTGTAGCTGCAAGAGTCCACCCCCCCCTTTTTGTTATCCTTCCTGTAGGGTCAAGCAAAAGCCAGTCACAGGGACAAGCACAGCCTGTTGTGCTGGGGCTTGTGTGGACCAGGCCTCCAGCCACTGCTGCATGGGGTGGGGGGTGGATTTGGCTGTACAGAGTCTCCATCTGGAATGACAGAATCGTGGACAGAGTCTTGGACACATGTAACAAATCAGACACACACAGAGGGATCCGTTGTGCAGTCAGATTTAAACCTCGGCCTCCTTACTGGGTCCAGGGCCAAGACAGATGCCTGGCTATTTTCTGCAATGCTGTTTCCCTTCTGTCTAGCTGGTAGTCGAGAGGAGCAGAGTCTGGAGTGTGAGCCCTTTGGAGGGGGACTGGAAGATGTCCCCTCCTTTAGTTACTTTGCTGGTGGGGGGCTGGCAGGTGCTGCCTTCCCTGGGGAAGTGGGCTTAGGACATACCTGGTGCATTGGTGGCGGGTGGCCGGGCTCTACCTGGAACAGTCTGTTAGGAGGGAGGGTAAAGGCAAAGCTGCTCTTAGCAGGGACAGGCTTGGTCACTTCTCATCCATCTCCATTTGGCACAGGAGAGCACAGGCCCAAGACAAGTGGGAAGAGGGGGGAAGGGAGCTTTTCCCACAGGAACACAGACTCGGCTCACAGAGCGAAAGGTTTTGTGTCCCAACAGGTACCAGCACCTACCTGTGAGTGTGGGACAGTGGGGGTCACACTGGGAGCCAGGCACTGGAGCAGCTGGAGCACAGCCTGGCAGGGAGCACAGGCATGTGGCTGGGCTGCCTTGGGACGTGGCATGACAGCTCCAGCCATCAGCCCAGGGCCAAGCACTGGATCCACTGACTAAAACAGACCTGGGCTGGCTGGGCATGGCTGTAGCCCAGCAGCAGCTGCTTTGTGAGAAAGAGCAAAAGAAGCCCTTCGGTAGTGAGGGCCATGGAGGATTTCCTCCTCCCCTCTCTCTGTGCTGCCCTCCAGGCTGGGTGCCACTGAGCACTTGCCTCTGGCAACCAGGATAGCACCAAGACAAGGCCATGTGCTGCCATTTGCCTGGTGTCTGGGGCAGTGAGGAAGGCTAAAGAGGGATAAAAAAAAAATAAAAATCAACACAACCCATCCCTCCCTGTTTTTGTGGCCACAGTGGGAATGCTGGTGCCCTGGCAGGCTGTCACAGGGCACAGGCAGTGTTGGCAGCTCTTACAGTGCCATGCCATGGCAGATACGGGCGTATGGGAACAGCAGGGACCCTGCTCCCTATCTGCCAGGGCTTGTGGGGCAAACTGTGGGATCCACCTGCCCTGATGGGACCCTGTCGGTGCCAGAGGCACCTCCAGCCTGCCACGGATCGAGACCAGCACAGCAGCTCTCGCTCCAGCCTTGTGTGATGGGTCACCCCAAAACACTCCTTGCAGGTGAGATACAGCGAGGGAAGTCACCGCCGCGCTACACACACACAGGCAAAGCCCAGGGCAAGGGCTGCAAGAGGGGACTGGCCTGAAAGCACCCAGAAGAGACATGGCCAGGAGGAAGCAGCACCCTGCTCCTCTGCTCTCGTGGTCGCAGGTTTGCTTGGGCCAGGGCAGGATCCAGGCACAGGGTCCAAGGTTTGCACAGGCAGCAAGACAAAGCAGAGCTGGTTGTCACCGTCAGCAGGGAGGGAAGCCCAGGAGCTCCAGCCTCTGAAGCAAGTGGTGCTGCACATGCAGGCGTGGGGCAGGGGAGCTGGGCAGCAGAACAGGCACTGGTGGGACACTGCAGGCTTGGAGCTGGGCGAGATGAGGGGTGCCTGGTAGGAGTGAGCGGGCAGAAAGAAGTCCAGGAGAAAACTAGCCGAGGGGGAAGCCTGTGTCCACAGCCCTTGTCAGTCACTACCTCTTCTGTTGAGCAAATATACATAAAAACAATTCTTGAACACAAGAAGGGACATAAGACACGACTACTTTACAGAGAAGCACGGCTCCTGGGAGGGACCAGGCCACTGGGACACGATTGTACAGGAGCTGCAGGTGGCACCATCCTGGGTCCGGGCCGGTCTCCCTGGGGGGGTTGCAATCCAGTCTATGTCCCCCAGCAGGGACCTGGGAGTGTTTGCAGCTGGTGCCTTCTCCCTGCCAGCTACACGTCCGTGGAGAAGTAAAGTGTGTTGCGTTTCAGCTCGGTGAAGGAGATGGGAGGATGCTGCAGGTAGTAGAGAAGGACCTGGACCTGTGGCAGGGAAATGGGGGCCTGTTAGGTCAGAAGGGGGCTGAGCTGCCACCTCCCAGCTTGTCCCTGTACAGCCACATCCAGCAAAGAATGACAAATCTACCCAGACAGGTAGGTAAACCCCCAGGGGTGCTGGTACAGGCCCCAGCCCCACACAGCCAGCACAGTGCTTACCTGGGCCATCACATCGTGGGACCAGATGTCAGAGGCCAGGGTGAGGTGTGCCTTGCTCTCCATCTCTGAGGGTCTCAGCAGCGTTGGTCCAAAGACTGTGGCCAGGTTGTGGAGAGACATTTTGTTGATGGGCTCCTTTTCAGCTACCCTGAGGATACAGGGAGAGAGGGAGTGTGAGCCCCTAACGCTGTTCTCTCAGCACAGGGCAACCATGGGGTGATGGGGGGGAGCTAGGGCTGGTCTCCCCATTCTGGCAGGGCACCTCCAGCTTGACATTGCACTTCACAGCTCCCAGCAAACCCAGGTGCAGGGCAGAGAGCTCTGCCCCTTTCACGGCCTCTGCTGGAGCCTCTGGGCCTGGCTGGGAGCCCTGGGTGTGATGTGGCAGCATCCAAGCCCTTGCTTGCTTATGTGCTGTGGGGCCTCCACCCCTCCTGAGCCACGGCAGGGCATGTGGAGCTGCACCCACCCCCCCCAGGGCTCCATAGCCCACCGACCCCCTGGGACCCTGGCCAACCTGTACCAAGGGAACCAGGGCCACAACATTGCCATGTTAGGAGGTGGCTGTGCTCCCCGGCACAGGCTGCACGGTTGAGCCTCAGCCAGGGGAGCAGATGTGGGAACTGGCTGTGCCCGGTTCTCAGGACAGAAATGGATTTTTTCCTTCCTCAGCCCCCAGCATCAATCACTTTTTCTGTTTGGTTTTAGCCAAACCAGAGAAAAAAAAAAAATCCTTCATGATGCAAGTAACATGAGCCGAGAGCCCTGGTCCCAAACTTGGGGCCAGCTCTGGGCAGGCTCTGAATGCTGCACCACAGCCCTGTGCCCCCCACTAGTTTTGGGGTCCCCTGCAAGGCCCAGAACTGCTCCACCCCAGGTTCAGATGGGCTTCATCTGAGCCATGATAAAGCCCAGCAAACCACACACTGACGCACTCGCCCCGGGATGAGCAACACAAGGTGTCACCTGCAGCTTTGGGACACGTCCATAGACCCGAGTGTCTGGGTCTTGGCCTCCCATGGCAGGCAAGTTACAGGGGTCACTGCACCTTGTTTTGCAGGGGCTACTGCTGGCCTGGCAGGAAGGGATGCAGCACTCAGCTTTTCCCTCTAAGGAGGACACTGCAGAGCTCCTAGTTGATTCCCAAGGCCAGCTGCTCCCCACGGAGCCCTTGTCCAGCCAGCTGCACACAGCCTGTGGCAGCCAAGGGCTGCACCTTGCTGGAGGACACGTGCTCCCTGCAGAGCTGACCTGCACCAGCGGGGAGATGACAGTGGCTCTACCTCTGCTGACATCCCATCTCCACACCAAAGGACTCCACAGACCCATCCTGCACCTCCCATTTGTGCTGGGCAGCCTGTAGAAGCTGCAAATTGAGCTGTTACCTTTTCAAGTGCTCCAGCAGAAAGAGGAAGGTGATGAGGTTGGGGTCAGGCAGCGAGCGGAGAAGGTGCATCATGCAGTTCTCCTTGGCAGCAGGATCCGAGAGGGCTGGAGACAAGCAAGGAGCAGGCTCAGGACAGGGGCTGGTGACATCTCATGCAGCAGTGGGA